TGGCCAGAATTAATGCGAAGTCTCTGTTACATGGATAACATGATATTTTAGACATTTCTTTGAGATCAATTTAAAAACTAATTATTTACGTCTCGATTTACGTTTACTATTGTTTACAAATGAGTAACAAATATGTACATTATATGCCAGGTAATAGTTTTTACTGGCTCTAGGAGATGACAGTCAACTTCTCCTATCGCCAGTAAAAACTCACTTACCTGGCTAATAATGTAAAATACTATTGGCAAATGAATCATTATTCATTTGTAAGGGCTGTTGAACTGCTTTTATGTGTCTGCAATGTATTCTCCAGACTTTAGACAATTTTCCAAAATACATATACTCCATATATGTTTGCATATATACAGTACGGGGTACTCTCGCCAGGAAAGAATGCCGGTCACCTGACGCCGCCGCCGGTTTACAATCGTATGGTTTAACATGAAAAATATTGTAAGGGCTTTTGAACATGGGCCTGATTCTGTGACTATGGGAATAAAGGCTGGGTTGATATCTAAATGAATTGTGCTCTAAACTTCTAATAATTGTGTAATACGTGTTTAATGCGTTTTATTTCTCAACAAGTTGTGCAAACGTAAGAATTAAATCAATATCTGACAATTGTCTACGATCGGTAACAGGTCTTTACCGCTGTTAATATTTAATATATCTACTATACAGGGTGTTTAAAAAAAGGTCGTATAATATCATCCATGTATGAAAATGAAAAGAAGTCAAAAAGTCTTAATGAACCTAGGTCCACAAATTAAGCGTTTTAGGGATAGAGCAAATTTTGTATTGTCTTCAACAAATAACATCCATAAAGCAAAGGAAGAGTGTTGTTTCATAATGTAAAGTAAAATTCTATGTGTCTTCCTTCCATTTGGATATCTTCGTTGAAAGGAAGCTCTTATTCGATCGAATACAAAAATATTTAAATTAAGACACAAAATCAACTCTGAAACACTTAATTTTTGGAGCTATGTGTTTATTAAAACTGTTTCTTTCTTTTCCTGAGTAGTTGAAATATCCGACCATTTTTCTGACGCACCCTGCATATTGTTTTCTCGGATGATTCTGTGAACTTTCACATGTACTCCTACCTATATTTTATAATACTACTCTTATTTACCCATACCAATTTGAATTACCTAATTGCCTAATTACTGTAATGGTACAAAAGGGATTTATAATTACCAAATTATCAGTGATATCAATACCCAATGAAATGAAAACAACAATTGCTTAATCGTACTTGTACTTTATATTTTTCTTTATCTTTTTTTAAACGAGTAAGCGAGGGTTACACCGAAATAATGATAAACTTTAACTCAAGTACTGCGTAAGTATATAAATAATTCGACGCGTGTTGAGATTATTGATAGGTGAACAAATCAACACTTAGTTATCAAAGTGATCTATTTAACGACCTTTTTATGGACTCATAATGCAAGTTCTTCAACACCTCCTGCTAGCAATTGCAGTTTATCAAGTACAGCTACTGATGGTCACGTCTCATAAAATGTACGTTTTTTATTATTGTAGGTCTTGGGAAAACACCTGAACGAAGTTTACAATAAGGAAGATTATGTATGCTTTGAACAGCTAAACGTTAAAAGAGAAAGAATTGCGAAAATATTTGACAAGGACTATAAAGTAAAAATTGACGATCCGTTTACGAACGAGTATGGAGTATGTTGGCTTAAACTTATGGGGATGCTTGATGATAATGATAAATTAAAATGGGACACCTTAGTCCCATTAGGAATGACATTTTTAGAGTTGTACGATATAGAAGGTAAAAAGGAAGAAATCTCCGCGTCAATAATAAACGCATGTAAAAATATCGTCGATGCTAAATCTGAATATATAATAGGAATATTAAATAATTGCATTGTTGATCAAATTCACTTGAATTATACCACTGATTCTTGTCTAAAGTCAAGGTAATTTAATGTAAGAAACGCTTTAGTACTATTTTGATTAGTTTATTAACTTATGATTAAATTTCGTTTATATGGATAACAACCGGCTGTATGGCTCAGATGGTAGAGCGTTGGGCTATAAATCCGGAGGTTCGAACCTGGGTTGAGGTGAATTTCTCATCTGTGGCAGAGATTGGATTTACCTTGGACCAGTTCCGATTCTACTGGCTACTCCGAATTAGGTTTTCCTGCAGTTTTCCTAATTCGTAAGGTAAATACCGGAGTAGTATAGAACCACTTAAGACCTTCTGCACGAGGCACCTCTAAAAAGCATTATGCGGGTCACTCTCTAATTGGGTGACAAGCCTGTTGAGGGCCCAGAACAAGAGAGGGATAATAAATAAATAAATAACAATGCATTCTTAATTATTATTAACAAATGGACTTCATTACCACCCTTAATCAAAGTAAGATTTTAACAGTATTTATTTTGTATGATGGTAAATATCAAATTTTCCAAATCATTTCAGCATCGAAAGCTCCCATTATTTGGGCCGTAGGTTTAGTTTAGCGTGTAATCATGTCTTTAGATAGTATACTATATTATTATTAATATGTACGCATACTTTATGAAAACTTCAAGTATATTGTTCTTTTTAATGCATTTAAATGCACTTATCATTACTATATAACTGATTGTTCACATAATGGTAAAAAACATGGATGTTGAACCTTGCTCTTTTGAAAATAAAATTTTTAAACTTCTAAGATGGAACTTAAAAATCTTAGCCAAAAACAATTAATGGGCAACGGCTAGCTTGTAGCAACAAATTTGTTGACCCGCGGCAACTTATTCTCTTAAAATTAATTTTTAAATTTTATATGAAAGTGGAATTCAGAACACCTAGCCTTTTGTGTTCAAATTGCTTGCTCCCAAAATCAAACACAACGTTACCGGTACATTTTTGATTATCGATGAAAAAAAATCAGAGAAAATGATTTCAGTTTACATTTGCCTTATACAGATTTCCGATTTCCTTACCCTGTAACTTATATACGAATCTAATAACAGTATACTGCACAATTTCTATATATACAGTCACCTTAAAAATAATCAAATTAAACCGACAGTCCAGAAACAAATAAATTCAAAAAACTTTACGGACTAAACCCTTTCATATTTCCTAGTGATTAATTGATGCCTACAAAATGGCTCCTGATTAACGGTAACGGACAAATCTTTAATCACTGATTCTTTGTTTTCGTTTTGCCCTACAAATTAAATGACAGCTTGGGTTATAAATCAGTCCCACGTATGATCAAATATGCCACGTTTCATTATCATACTATCAGAGATGACCGGATATGCTGAACTGATTAGTATACCAAGCTAAGCAGATGCGGAACTAGTCGGGAATCTGGGAGTCAAAATTCGAACATGGTATGTGAACTCAAAGATATACATTTTGAAAAATACGTATCTTGTGCAGAATTAGATGCCGATTCTGAATCAAGAGGGCGCGATGGTCGCAGGGATTGCAAATAGCCAGAAAAAAATAATTTGTACAAAATTTCGCACTTCCCAAAAGTTACAAATTTTACTTTTACATCGCATTTCCGAAGTTATTTATGAATATTTTTCAAGAATTTGTGCACCATTCGAAAGCTCATTATATTCGCCGTCTCACAGAACAAAAAGAAAGTCAATGTTGCCTTTATCAACCACTCTGTAAACTGTTAAAGCTGTATATGCGAGCGAAGTGTAATAAAAATTTCAGTAGCGAGGTATTTTCGTTATTATTGGAGATAGAGGTATACATATACGAGACCAAATATGTAAAATGAAACAAGGTAGTTTTTTTACTAAAACATTTTTTCAATCAGACAAACCGTTTAAGAAATATAATAGGTTAAACATTTTTGAAAATGTAACGCGGGCGCGCCAGAATAGCAATACTACCGATACTCGCTTAAACACGCACGCTGTCGCATAAATCCGTCTACGACCTACATCTATTTTTAATTTTTTATTTATTAAGTCCTCTTCTTGTTTGGGCCAGACAGGCATCAGCGCCAAAGTTACAGAGTGACTCCGCATATGCTATTAGAGGTGCCTCTGCAGAAGGTCTTAAGTGGTCTATACTATACTCCGGTTATTTAATACCTTATCGAATTAGGCAAAACTACACAAAATCTCGATCATATCCGTTTGTCTGTCGGTCTGTGTGTCTATACTCTTATTTCCGACTGAACGGCGGAATCGATTTGAACCAAATTTGGTATACATCTTCTTAGATATAAAATAGAGAGCTATAAAGCTTTTAGGCAGAATCGCGCATGCTAAGGTGTGTCATAGTTATAAAATGTTGCAAAACAGATATCAGAAACGTGCCACCCACGGAAGATTCTTTCCATAACCATTTATTAAGAGCAGTTTATCAGTTGATTGTTTGGAAAACGGCAAGTCTTGTTCCGTTCCGT